ATATATATATATATATACGTATATATTCACAGAGAGAACATGTAACCACCACTCAGAAAGGTCCTCGGCAGGGATTCAATCTGGGAACCTTATTGCAGAGAGGCGACTCACTAAATGATGCATACACAGAACAGAATTAATATGGAAAGAGCAGAAGAAAAGTAGAAATATTGGCTCTCTGTAGAAGTTTAGGTCAGGTAAAGTTTTCTCACTAAAAACAGTTGATGGAAAAGCAGAGAGATACGAACAGGTGGATCTTTCTGAGCACATCTAGCAGTGCAGATCTGTCCTTTTTCTGTTTCTGTACACAGAAAGAACTCAGAGATCACTATTTGTCTGCAAAGGCTCTCTGTGACATTTGTTGTCATTCAGTGGTTTCTCATTTTGAGTCACAATCCCGGAGGTGTTTCCTTGGTTTCAGATGGGACCTGAACACAACAGTTTCTCATCTAGAGAGAGACTGAACAAACATGGCCACCTCGACATTTGATTTATTATTTATAAAGAATTTGAGAGCTCACACTGATATTGTGGTTTTTTTCCCCGTTTTACTCCATTTTTTCTGTCTATTGTTCTATTTTACCACATTTTTCCTGATTCAATAAATATAACAATGTTATATCCTCAAATAGAAAGAGTATCAGAGGCGCTGATTATATACAGTATGAACAAGGATAAATGTAATTCCATACCATAGCATTGTGGTATTGTCGTTCAACTGCCCTTCCTATATGAGATCATTGTGCTCCCCACGACTGCTGTCTATTCATCCGTTTTCTTCACCTGCTTTTCCATTAAGAATCATGGTGGAACTGCTGATCTCCAGCAGAGGTGTGAGACGAGCTACGCTCTGCATAGGTTGCAAGCCCACTTTGAGTGCCACTCACAGACGAACAAGAGGCTGATTTAGAGTTACCATTTAAACTAATGGGCATGTTTTTTGTTTGTTGGTTGGTTGTTTTTTTTTTTTTTTTTTTTTTTTGTGAAACAAACTTAGAATGTCTAAGGAAAATTCAAGCATGCACAGGGAGAACATGACATAGAAAAACTCCAGGCAAGAGTCAAACCAATGACCATCTTGCCATGTAGCTCTCTCCATTGCCTCTTAGAATGTGACTGGATTGCAAATCTTCTTCAGTGTAAAGGCAATCATGATGCCGCTATACTCTTAATTCTTGTTGAATACAAAGGTCCCCTAGACTAAACCCAGTGTGCTCACCATACTCTGGATATTAGCAGCATGTTTCCACAACAATATTACCAGGTTCCTACAATCACAACTCACACCACATCTCAGACCGCCACAACTCTGTTGACTCTTAGCATCGTGTGATTAGAAGGTTACACAATACGTTACCATTATGTGGGCATGATGGGGTCATTACCTAGATGTGAATCAGGCTTCAAATTCTTGCCAACCAAACCATACAGGTGTGAACAGGTACCATGTTATGAATACATGCACCATGCATGACCTCAACAGGCTGCAAACAAAATAATAAACCACCACTTGCAAGCTCAAAACTATCTTCTCACTCATTTTCACAGAGGGCCACACAAGCTTTATAGTCAACAGGCCAGTTGTAATTAACTTTGATGTTTTTAGTTAATGACTAAACATGAAATATTACATTCATTGTCTCATTGCTGCAGCTGAGCAATAACTGAGCTCTATGTGGTATTTTGTACATAAAAACAGTGTTTTAACATGTCCTCTTATAAACATTGAAAAGTACTACGTGTATGACTGACTGTGAAATAAACAATACAGAAATACCATTAAAAGTAAATGTATGAGAGTTTTACTCACTGTTGACTAGTGGTAAGTAGCCACCATCTTGAATTCTAAACCCTCCCATTTGCAGACAGGGAATTCCCACTGGATGGGGCATTCCAGTTCCCACTTCCCAGTACAACTGGACCACAGCAAAATAAGCCATCTAAAATGCAGCGATATGGAGATTTTACAAAACAAATTTTGCCTGATCCCATCCTCTTTAGAACCCTGTGCAGCTCTACCTAGTGGTGGGATGCTGTCATTTTGCGGGTAAAATAATCAACATGCATTATGGGAGATGTAGTTTTTGCTCAATGTTGGCTTTAACGTCTCTTTTAAGACTTCAGTTATTTTTAAAGCTATCGCAGGTCACATAAAATGCCATGGTGGTGACATGTCTTAAGTTTGACATGTGATCTACAGCCTCAGTCACAGCCTATTTTTGTAAGTACAGTATACATTTGTCTTGCAAAACCACATTCTTACTAATGCATATTATCTTGTTGTGAACCTCCTTTATATAATGCTGCTTTCAGGAATGAAACTGGTCAGAAAAGGGAGAACGGCAAATTAGGAAATTTAAATCACCACAGAGTCCAGTTAAAATCGCAGGTGTGACAACAGAAACTGTCTGACCTTCATCTGGCGAACACATCATTATTGTGAATTTTGACTTTGAGGATGAAAAGGAAAACATCTACTCCTCTGTGTACATTGCAGGACCTGGTATAGATTGAGAGGTCACCCACCTAATGTGCAGTCACCTCACAAACATAGACCCTATTTCCTTGAAAAATTGGACCTTGTGTTTGCACATGGCCCCAGTATGGTGGTTATGGATGCTTTAGAAACACCAAAACATCTTTCTAAATTCTTCTTTTTTATGTTCAATTACCCTTTTTTGAGGTTTTATCTTGTCCTGGGATTTAAAGATGTCTTGTTTTTATCCTGTTTAGTGATTACAGAAAAACAAAACGAGAAAAAAATCTTGCTTTCAACCTAGCTCAGTGAGTGGTCACTCAATTTGTTTTAAATCACTTGCATTCTTAGATAAATGTTTGTTTTTTCCCAGGCAGCAACTTCTAATCCTTCTGCATGACTTTTGTCAAGCAAGACAAACTTTTTGCAGGGAGCTGTAGAAGTGATGTATTAAGAGTAGGCCAAAGAAAAATGATAAATCAAACCCTGTCTAGATAATGTCAAAGCATATTTCAGATCACCAATCATGTTATCTCTACTCACATTACAACACCACTGAGAAAAAAATGATGGATAAAATTCCCTTTTTAGCAAAACTACAAAAAATTGCTCAACAAATGCAGTATGCAACCACAAGGAATAAAATGTAGTAAACACAAAAAATAACAGAAAACATCAAATCTACTACAAATCCTGCTTCAAACACTTTAAACTACATCAGTATATACCAAAAACCATGTTTGACCACTTTAAAAGTGTTCATTCTGATTGCATTTAGGTCTGTTTTTGATGAGGGGTGGTCTAATGTCAGCATATATATTTTTAAAGAAATACAAAGAAAAGTATCAAATGTACTTTTAAATATCATTTTGTTAAGTAGATTGGGATAGAGGCTGTCAAATAAGCTATGCTGTTTGGGTTTAGTTTTCAAGGAAACATATAGTTTTGTTGCCTAATAAAAATACACTGATAAAAAAGGTACTAGGCCTATGTCCCTTTTTCAATTTTCCCCAAGCAAAATAATATCCATTTGGTTCAAAAGTTTCTAATTCATAAGTCATAGAAAGTTAATTCATTGTTTTATATTACTTTAGAATAGGGATGATACAAAATTTGATACTTTTATAAGCACCGACCGAATTCTGTACTGACTGAGTACCGTTTCACGTAACATCAAACGGTACCACGTTTCGGTACCTAAACGCATTATGACCATATTGGTGTTAGAGTGAGGGATTTTCCATGCATGACCTGAACGCAGCATCGCGCAAGAGCTGACGTCAGCAGCCACTGGTTCAGTAAACACAGTTCAGTCTGAACGTAGCTGAAAGCCTCGCAGCTCCTGGAGTGAAACTCACCGAACAGACCGCCTCTGAATTATCTGGTGGATTAATTATCTTGTGAGCACGATGTTTGCTAGCTCAAAGTAAATAAAGTACCGCCACTTTCTTTATTTCATCCGCCATTAAACAGAGACCAGCAGAGGAAAACAACAGAGGGGCTTCCTGACAGTCTGAATGTGTCTGACCTAAAGAGAACAATCAGCCAACTTGAAGCGTTGGGTGCGTTTTGGATGCTCAAAACGTAGCTTGAATACCTTTTATTTATTTAACTCCATCCTCTTTTGCTTATTTGATTTAAACATATTTGCTTTCCATGGACCTCCATAACATAATTTTTCTAGTGGGGAAATGACATCAATAGAAATACATTGAGCTGGATTGTAAATTGTGCAATAAGACAAAGCACTACATTAGTTGTTTTCAAGAGTTTTCACTTTAAAGAAATTAGTTAAACAACTGATGTTACAATACAAATAGTTGGATGTTGTCTTGACATTTGTTAAATTTTATGTATTGAGAAATAAATATGTTAAATTAAAAAAATCAAGTTTATTATTAAAAAAACAACCCACAGAAAGTACTGAAAATTTGTACCGTTGAGTACCAGTACCAATTCCCAGGTACCGGATATTGGTACCGAATGGCTAGATGTTTAGCACTGATGCCAAATAGCAAGAAGTTCCTGGGTTAAATCTTCTGTTCAGACCAGAAGTCATTCTGGGTGGGTTTTGAATGCCCTCCATGTGCTTGTATGGGTTTTGTCTGGGTACTCTGGGTTTCCATCCAGCCAAGGCCTTGCAAAAGAGACTGTGATCTCAATGGAATTTACCTGGTTAAATACCTGTTGATAATAAATAGAAGTCTAAGTTCATTCACGTTTTTGAAATAACACACTGAGGGATTTAAATTATGAAAGTTTATTGAGGAGAGTGTTTTTTATAGACTGGAAATGAGTAGAAATTGTAAGTAAACAATATTTTTGGTGTAAAATATCCAAATGGTAGGAGTTACTGTACATATTGTGTATAAGAACACAGGCAGGGATTATTTTGCTTGTCTCAGGTGGTGCAAAGTGATGTACTGTATGCTGACCAGAGCAATTTTATCCACCAACAGATACAATGGTGGAGCCTTGACCGCCATACAAATAATATATATTTCCCTATAAAAAACTTGTAGTTCACCCTACTTTTTCACTTGGGTGATTCCACTGCAAACTCAGTTCTTCTACTGGAGGCCTGGAAGCTTGAGGATTCTGTTTAGTATCTTAGCTGTTCCTAAGATATTGCTCTTCTGGACAGAGATCTCTGAGGTTGTTCCTGGGACTTGTTGAAGCCACTCTTTAAGTTTGGGGCTCACAGCACCAAGTACTCCAGTAACCACTGGGACTACTGACGCCTCGACTCTCCACAATCTCTGTGTTTCCTCTTTGTCATTTTTATTTCTCAATCTTTTTTGTGCTCATTCTTCCTGATGTTACAGTTACTTGGGATTGTGACTTCTATCACCACTGCCTTATTCTCACAATGTCCAGTTGGTCAGCCATCACCTGTCTGTTGAACTGGATCTGGGAGTCTTACACTATCTTAGCTCTTCCATTCTCCATCGCCCTTGGTGGTGTCATCCACTTTGACTCTGCGACCTCCAGTCCATATTACGCAGTGGCTAAGACATGACTTTGGTGCAGAGAAATCATGGGTGCATGTGTTTGTATCCTGGTACCAATCTGAGCAACCTTGGTTACACTATGGACGAGAGACAAAATATGTATATACTGTATAGTGGCAGCCATCTTGGAATTTGTGACAACCTACCTTTTGACTGGGGCCTTTCTAACACCTAGATACAGACATGCCAAAATATGGGTCAGTAAATCACTTATTTTTCAAGTCATCTAGCTCAAAGTACAGACAGAGAGACAGATATTTGCAGTTCCCCACTTTGCCCCATGACGGGGGACATACAGTCTAATATAGCAGTGAGCACATGCTGCAACTCCATGAATTATCATCTTATTTTGATCAGAGTGTTTGAGTGTCACAGAGACCCAACGTGTCATAGAAAGCATGATTCAGCAACTTTTATGTTGACAACAAGCAGAATGCCTCACTCAGACTGCAAGTCATGTCAGAAGGCGCATGGCGTTTAAGATTTTACCCATGGGATCCAGCTGGGAACACAAGCTATATCGGACCACCCTCCTGTGAACCCACCACCCACATCAGGTACCTATGGGACCAGTGAAATGTGAGTTTAGGTGACATCAGCAGATGGTCTGATTGGACACAAATGGACATTAAAAACAATGCTAATAGGGGAAGAGTTCAAGCTTACTACAGTATATGTGAGGCTGAAAGATATCAACAATGGTCGGGTCCTCTTCACCCACAGCATGGTCTATGGACACATTCTTCTGGCTGGACTTTGTTCTCCTCTGGAGCTATCGAGGCGGTGACCTTAGTTACAATATATCTTTGAAATTAATGACCAGATGATGGAGTTTTTTCTGGTGTCTTTTCTGGCATAAAGCTGCAAATTTTCTTCTATTCTGAAATCTCTGAGAATTTTAAACATCAATACACTTAGACCTTTTGACCAAGATAAGTAGGATATTTTATGAGCCAGGAAAGAATTGGTTAGTTTTCAACCACTTGTCGTCATCAAGAATAGCAAAGTTAGTGTCCTTCAACAACAATATGGTCCTCTAGTTCTACAAAGCCTTTTTACAGTGTTAAATTAAATGCTTTTTTTTAAAAATGTGAATAAAGTAGTTTGATTCATAGATTGTACAAAACCTTTTTAAGACCTGTAAGGCTTAAAGAAACTTTCTATTACACAACTTTAAGAAAGACATCTTGTATAATATTCTAAAAAAATATGATTTAATTGAAAAATTGTCTTCAGATTTTTATGTAGCTAAGTGACCTAAACTTTATGACTAATGAATTGACCTTGTAATACATGTGTGTGTTTTATCTAGACTTGGTTCTACAGTTGCCATGCCATTGTCTGTCAGCTATGGCTGCTGCAGCTAAGTGAAAAAATGTGACCGAATTTTAGCTGATAATCTAAGACCAATTATGTTGTTTTGCCATCTATTTAGCGTCAGTCTAAATACAATGTAATACTTAAAAGCTAAATTTAAAAGTCTAAGTTGATCTGTTCTTTTAGATTAATCCAACTGTCAATTTCAATTTCAGACTTGTACAATTCCCATTTCAGTAAAATGTCTAAGAATTTAAATTAAAATTTGAGTTTCTGCCACAACCCTGAAAAATACACATCAAACTGTGATGAAGTGATTCATCACAACCTGCTGGCTTCTTCTTTTTATTTATTTTTGACCTCCACTACCAGTGTCGGGCCCTGGGTGGGGTTTAAATCTCCTACCCCTAACTTAAGGCATCTCATACGAGATTTCAGCTTCACTCAGCGCTCTCGTCCTCAGCCGGGGTCTGAGCGCCAAACTCTAATGCTGTTCATGTCAATAATCCTGTTGGTCCAGTCATGTCAATAAACCTCCTAATTTCAGTCTTTGTGCGAGTCCTTCCAGGTTGAAATAAAATTTAAAATATTTTCAACACAAATATCAGGCTTCTGGAATATATTAATTTCTATGCACTTTAGTACTAGTTTGGGCCTCTTTTTGAAGGAATCACAGCATGAATGTGATCAGCCTGTAGGCCTGCTGAGGTGGAATGGAAGTCCATACTATGTTAGCGGTCTTATGGTGCGTTCACACCGAACGCGATTTCAGCTTCAAAATCGCAGCCAACGCTGAAGTTTGAAGCTTGTGCACTTTGAGGTCAGACGCAGGACACCTGCGCTGCACGGCGACAGCCGCCCCGCCACTCCCTCCTCTGTGGGGCTGTTTAATGTCGGACGAGGAAGTGGCTTTGCTTTATTTACAGACAGCCAGAACGTGTCACGTTCATCAGATAATTAATTCATAATTAATTCACCAGATAATTCAGAGAAGAGGCTCACAGCTGCTTTCAGGACTATTTTTCCAGTCTGATGAGTCGCTGCCACGCATTGCTGCGGATCAGGACACGACTGCAGCACTCATTTCAGCTAAAGAGCAGGAGCTCCATCTGTTTCAGGTTAGTGGACATCATTCAGTAAACTGTCCCGTCGGGAAATATGTCGCTACGTCACACAGTGGAGTCTCTCTGATTGGTTGACGCTGCGCGTCGAGCTGCAAAAGTTCAGATTTCCCAACTTCAGCGATTTGGACGATTTGGACGATCTGAGCGTTCGACGCTCAGATCGTCCAAATCGTTCAAATCGCGCTGCTCTAATCGCGCTTGAGGCGCCGCAGAACTTCCCGACGTTGCTTGAAGCGCGTCCACCATAGACTTTGTATGTAAACCTGCTGCTCCTGACGCTGAAATCGCGTTTGGTGTGAACGCACCATTAGTCTTCTGCGATGTTGAGTCTGGGGTCTCTCACCTTCCCCTTGACAATAGCTCATAGATTCTCTATGGGGTTCAGGTCAGGTGAGTTTGCTGGTCAGTCAAGCACAGTAACACCAGGGTCATTGAACCAGCTTCTGGAAACTTTGACAGTTTCACTTTGTGAACTGACTGACCAAACAAATATATAAAATTTTTTAACTTTTATTATTCATATTTTTTGTGCTACACCTTATAAATCCTGCTGTCTGTGTCTGCATGAGTGTTCATTGTCTATTAGCAAAATATTCCATGGATCAGTGAATGTGTTTGTTAATTTGATTAAGATAATAATAATAATAATAATAATAATAATAATAATAATAATAATAATAATAATAATGCATTTTATTTATAAAGCACATTTCAGGACACCCAAGGATGCTGATAACCAGATAGATAACCATAACTCATTCATTTTGACAGATGTTGAGCTAAAATGTGTTTTAGCCATCATCCCCAGTACCAAAGACTTTCATCAAGAACCTTGACAGTGTGCGATATTCAAAGAATATAGTTTCATAGTTTCAGTATCTATAATTTTAAATTTCTAATTAAATCAAACATATTCAGTTATACAGGTGTTCTCATACCTTCATCTGAATATCCTGTGCTTTCCAATTAGGACGGAGTCTTCTCACCAGGTCCAAGATTCCTTTCCGAGGGTCATGCTCATCAATATAAATGTCCACATGGAGCAGTTGATTTTTAGAACCATCCATTTTAAGCAAAAGAAAAAGTTTTTATTTTTTAATGTTTTCCCTCCTACAAATTCTGTTTACACATCCAGCTGGCATATACTTAGATTTTATATTTGCCCAAAACATCAATTGGACCAGTTTGGTCAATGATCAAGGATAGTTAAAGAAACTCAAATCCCTAGTTGGATTAAATTAATAAAAGTAGTCATCAGTAAGTGAGTCAACAGTAGTCAAGTAGACCTATCAGAGGCCAATGTCCTGGGAACATATTCATTTCTTTCGCTGCGGTTTAAATATTAACCACTGGTGGGCTGATAGTTTTGTAGGGGACTCATATGTACTTGGTTCATGGCCTCCCACTTGCTGGCTGTTAAAGATAAGTTCTGATGGCCCTTCATGACGCTGCGGTCGCCCTGAACTAACAGAAGTTGTTTTCAAAGAACAGATCAATAATAAAAAAAAAACATTTACAGTATGGAACAGAAGCATTATGACATGCTGTAGAGTGCAAACAAACAGAAAATGTCATCCTATAACAATTTGTATAATGAAATTCTTTTCTGTCAGTGTGCAGCAAATAAAGCACTTTTTAATATTCCAAAACAATATTTCATCTGTAATGGCTACAAAGAGAGAGAATTTAATTTATTCAGAAATAAATGAGCATATTTTGTTTGATGGTATTTTTATTTTTTGATCTTTTTAACACGGCATACAAATTAAATGTAATACAACTAATGTCTAAAGTATTTTTAACACTGAAAAAACACTGAAATACTATGCATATAGTGGCAAGAAAATTGTGATAAATCAAACTATAAAGAAAAACTTGGCTAAACAGTTTTAGTACACAAAGTTTGACTTCAACGAGATTATCATAAAATGACAGATAAAAAATAATAAAAATTGTCAATTATCAATATCCAATTTTTGTCCCATATGTTGACATAGGCAGCTTCAGGGAAACATGTTAATATTCAAAACCAGTCAAATTAAAAATATATGTCAATGATGTTTTAAAGACATGTTCAATTTCCAAAGTTCCTGAATGCAACAGTTGTGAACATTTTGTCCATCCACTGTGTTGTCAGTCATAATTCCATACTCCATCATCTGAGGCCCTGCCCGCATACCAAAGCAGCACCAGAAGTTTGAAACTGAAAATAAAATCAATAATAATATTAACG